ATCACTAAAATTACTAGGTATATTTCATTTCTTTGTAACCATTTTAAATATACTATCCTTTGATATCTTTTTATTTTAAATATATATATATATATATATATATATATATATATATATTGATTCTTTGTAACAAGTCTGTTGAAAAGATTTTAGCAAGATCTTAACTTTAAAAAAAAATATTTAAATATTTCACTAATTTCGAATTAGTAATGAAATATATATATATATATGTGTGTGTGTGTGTATATATATATATATATATATATATATATTAAGTTATCTCTTACAAAATGAAAAAAAAATTCTTATTTTTCTATTTTATAATCATAATCTATCATATTAAAGGAACATTATTATATTGGACTATATGCTATAAAATTATATCAAATTGATAAACTAATCAACTTTATTTTCATAAATACAAAATATTAAGGTTATAAAATGTATAATATGTTAGCAGAACAAATTAACATTAGTAACTATATAATACATGTATAAAATTAACATATCTTAAACTCTTATAATATAAATTATATATATAAACATAAAAAGTTTGCTAAACGGTAATTTTACTTTGAAACTCAAATCAAAGTCTAGTATAAATTAAATATAAAATAATTCTGAAATATTAGTATTAATAATTAACTGGAAATCCAACAAGATAAATATATAATAAGAAACTATTGAAGCAATTGATATTAACATCCATACCATAAAATTATTGTGTAAATAGTTGTATATATATATTTAAATATCTGACTAACGTCACTAATGATATAAAACAAATATATGTATATAAAAATGAAAACAAAACCCATGCGGTTGCGCGGATCAATATTTAGTTAATATTATAATGCTCTATTATAATGTTTGATTTTCATGTAGTGTTTTATCTGACCCAGACCCATAGTTGACCGGTACATCCGACAATTTTTGTATAAACTGGTTAAGAGTAAATGAAAATTTTATTAATTAAAACTTTTATAAAACAGGTAAATATCCAAAAACCTGCTATTAATCCGCAGTATGATATCTATAGATCCGCTAAAAACCCCAAAAAACTGATAATATTTTTTAAAAAATTTAATTAAATAGCATATTTTTAATATTAAAGAAAACTGATTTTTTTTTGGAATTTCTTAGAGTTTAATTAAATTTTGTCACTTGAAAAAATGAAACAATGGTAATAGAAAAAAAAATTATTCATATAACAATATTAATTTCTTTTCGTTATTAAACTTTACATTTTCACTTATTTTATATCTAACAAAATATTTTATAAAAAATAATTGGCATATCAATATTATGACATAGTAAATAATAATATTTAATTTTTGATCACTAAATAATATTATGCACGGAAATATGATATTAAAATTAAAACGAAAGTATAATTTTCATAAAATAAAATTATTATTAAGCACAAAACATGGGAAATTATTAGTTACCATAAATATAGGAAATATTTAGTTGTTTAGTTAAAGAAATAATCTATACTATTAAAAGTGAAGGCACCCTTGAAAAATCGACTGATGGAAATTGTGTGCACCCTTCATTAATGGCATTTTGGTAATTTATTTTCGTCTTACATCTATATATATATATATATCAATTTGTTACAAATCATATCACATATTGCATATACCTGAATTATTTCTCTCTCTTTCCATTAATTACTCTAACCATTAATTATTCTCTCTTTTCCTATTAATTCTTTTTCTCTCTTCCCATTAATTACTCTAACCATATTTCATACTATATTTCATACATTTATTGATTTCCAACATTATACTACACGAATTGGTATATGCATCATATATGGACTTTATCACCACATTTCATACTATATTTCATACATTTATATTATATTATACATCTTATATTACATGATTTCAATCTATAGATTTTCAGCATTATACTTTTATGGTTGACTTTTTTGGTATATAAATCATATATAGACTTTATAACCATATTCCAAACTATATTTCATACATTTATATTGTGTTATACACCTTATATTACACGATTTCAATCTATATATTTCCAAGATTATACTTTTTGGTTGACATTTTTTGGTATATGCATCATACATGGACTTTATAACCCTTCATTTCATTTATATTGTGTTATAGATCTTCATTTCATGATTTATCTTCATATATGAAATATGTTTTCATGTCTCACTAAATTTACCCGTATTTATATACCATACTATATTTCATACAATTATATGAAGATATAGACCTTATATTACATGATTTCAATCTATATATTTCCAACACTATACTTTTTTGGTTGACATTTTTTGGTATATGCATCATACATGGACTATATAAACCCTCATTTCATTTATATTGTGTTATAGACCCTATATTACACGATTTCAATCTATAGATTTCTAACATTATACTTTTTTGGTTGACATTTTTTGGTATACTCATGTATCATACATGGACTTTATAAACTTTCATTTCATTTATATTGTGTTATAGACCTTCATTTCATGTTTTTCTTCATATATGAAATATGTTTTCATGTCTCACTAAATTTACATGTATTTATATACCATAGTTAGACGACATATAGTTATATCAACCAAAAACATATATCATCACTATCATGTTGACATTTAATGGACGAGATACGTTTTGTTAAGAAAATATTGCAAATACAGTTTTCTATAATTATCTTCCTACTAAAATAAAGAAATTGCTTTACCTACAAGTTATAGATTAACCACAATCAATATCATAGATTCCATAAATTTCGGTAACTCACCGTAGTTGGATTACCATTAACTGTTAAAATTTAAACTTCCTAATTATTCAAAATCTTCAAGAAATATTCCTTATTCCTCAAAAGAGATATTTTAAAAAATCGTATGAAATATTCTCCCCTACATTCGTGTAACCTAATTGTGTATCGTCCCTACATATTATAAATATAGTCTCTCTTAACCATTATATTTATCATCTCTTCGAAAACCTAAAACAAAAAGGGCGAATAATTTGCAGTTGTCTTTCTTAATCGATATAAAACCGAGGAAGACTGATGTCGCATCCAATTCAAAATCCTTCATACGTGAAGACATTTCATGAAAGACTAAGTGAGTCCATGGAACTAATCCTTTGTGATGCAAATGCAAATTTATCGTTTTGTATAGATTTTTTATTTAGATATCTTCATTTCGTTAAATTTTAACCTAAATGATAATGTTTTATGTTTATATAGGGAAGTAAGATCCATGCCTCGTGTAGCAAGACATACATTCCTCGAGACAGATGTTTGTTAATCCTGAAATACCAGAGACAGATGAATTTAAACAACGGTATTTATCTTCTTGAACAAAAATGTTTTCACTTTATAATAGTATAGACTAAATTATAAAATTTATTTATAATCGCAGAGGTAATGATGATTCTCGAGCGTTAACCCTGGCTGAATCAAAATCGCAGAGGTAATGATGATTCTCCATCGATCCGTTTTAGGATTATGTTTGTTTAGAAATAATGTTTTTAGTTATGTTTTGACAATTGCGTTATGATGATTCTTGAGCGTTAATCCTGGTTGAATCAAAAATGTGTTTTATTTGCACCCAATAATTTTCATTTTAAATAATATTTGTTTTTTTTTCTTGACGATTTATTGACTGATTTATTTATATGAAAAATACATAGTGTTTTATAAAACAGATCAATATACTGTGATATAATAAAAAAATCGATTTATACTATATTTGCTGCATATTAAAACATAAAATGAGATACTTGGAGTAACAAATCTCATTTGTTACTCCAGAATCTTGCAATATTTAAATTATTTCTTATATACTTGGAGTTATCTTTGACTCTCATAAAAAAATATTTTTGAGTTACCTTTGACTATCATAAATTAATTTAATATTTTATTTTATGGTCAACAAAAAAATACCCGCCCTTCTTAAGCGCGGGTCAAAATTGAATATTATTTTTATTGTTCAAAAATCATAGATGTAATTATTTTAACTAACATAAATAAACTATATAAGATGCGCGGGTCAAAATTGAATATTATTTTTATTGTTCAAAAATCATAGATGTAATTATTTTAACTAACATAAATAAACTATATAAGAAGCGCGGGTCAAAAATGAATATTACTTTTATTGTTCAAAAATCATAAATATAATTATTTTAATAAACTATTTAATCCCAGCGCGGATCAAAATGTAATATGTGTTTTAATTTTTCATACTCTCACAATACTTATTTTTTTGATTCTCTGTTCAACCACAAACTGACTCGGTTATGCAAAACTCAATGAAAAGATCCTACTAAAACGTTAAATATACATCAAATTTCACATATAAAACTATCATATAATAAAAATAGAATCATTTGATACATTTTGTTACAATCAAAATAAAACATGCGCTTCTCAAGCACGGGTCAAAATCTAGTATTTATATTAAAATAAAATGCTAGTGACATATCTCTGTAAATAACTTAGAAAACTAAGTGCATAATCCTAACAGAGATTCTGTGTAGATAATAAATATAATGGGATTTAAAAATCATTATTTCAACATCAATGGCCTTTTAATTAGCAACTTTGTATCCAAGATCCAATACTATATACAAAATGTAATATATGACACAATTTTTCCAGTCAAACATTATTAGAAAGTTTCACTCCGCGCATGAGTGCTTATCCCTATCACCAGTGGCGGAGGTAGGGCTTGATGAGGGGGGTCAACTGACACCCATGGAATTTTATAAAACACATTATTTTTAACCAAATAAACTATATTGACCCTAATCAAAACAAAATTTTGACCCTTATCGATTTTTTTCCAAAGTGTAGTTTAACTATGACCCATGTGAATAAGTTTCCTGCCTCCGCCACTGCCTATCACTTTAATTGTAAAGTCATTATCACTTTTTGAAGCTTATAAAACCAGACAACGGAGGCTTTAGAATCGGGCAGATTACAGATCATAAATAACACAAGAGAGTTGCGTTAAAAAAAAAAATAACACAAGAGAAAGAGACTCGGAGAAATTGATATTAGATGGAGAAAAGGATTGTGTACGGTTTGGTAGTAATGCTAATGTACTTGGTGGGTGGTGGCTATAGTCAAGGTAAAACTAATTAACCATCTAACAAACTCACATAGATTAATTATAATCAATTGTCATGTTTGCTTGACATTCAATGATTGGATGCATGTACGTAGGGGTAGTGAAACGGATACGTGACAAAGCTGAATGGGAAGCAATTCTGGCCGATGCCGATCATTACATAGGGCTTATAGTAACGTCCCCGTTGTGCGGTTCTCCATGTGCTATATTGAACGACCAAGTGGCTCAAATTGTCGATTCATTCAATTCAGTCGGCGTCCGCATTCAGTTTTTTACAGCTTACCTTTGGCAGGCTTTTATCTTATCAGATTGGATCAAATCTGTACCAACCGTCTTAATTTTCGAACATGGAAACGTAACAATTAGCTACGGAAATCTTTCGGACTGGGGTAACTTTTATGATATATTATTCGGCTCAGGTATATTTAACTTCGCCCCAGCCCCCTCCCCCTCCCCCTCCCCCTCCCCCTCCGACGCCAACTTGCCACTGCCTCCTCAATCCGGCTTGTAAATTATAGTCCTGGCTTGATTTAGTAACGTCACTTTATATGTATTATTGGGTTTGCTGCTTCCAATTTAATTTAATAGGTCAATAAGTTTGGCGATATATATATATAACTGTGTGTGTATGTGATCATATTATGTTTGGTGTGTTATGAATCGCCATTAAAAAGTTTACTGATGCTTGACAGCATAATATAAATTATATATAATGAGATAATTAAGTTCTTAGATCATAAGATTGTTAGATAGAACTTCTACAGTCTAGCTACTTAGGTATACATGAGTGAGGCATAAAGATGATAAATTTGATAACATGAGAATTGATCAAACCGGACGCAAATCCGAAGAAGTTATCACGGACGAGCCACATGCAGGGAAACTTGCACGTGTGGTTCTGGCCGGGCTTTCCTGAGGTATCTAATAACCTTGCTTCTGCTCGCCGCTGGCGCACCTCTCCTAACTATTGCCCATTTATTCTGGAATAATCTTTTTAGGAGGTAACCTTTTTAGATGATTTCCGGTGAGTTTCATCTCTTCCATCGTGTGCACACATCATAGTTCCAGAAACAGAACTCAGTAATGGAACAAGATACCAAAGATGTCACTTGTCACTTTTATGAAACTAAAATTTGAAAAGTTAATTCGAGATTTTACCAGCATTGTCTTAAAAATTCACAGAAGGTCCCACTCAGAGAGACCATCCATAGGTTAAAGGTCTTTATGATGATGGAAAAAGGAGAAAATAAACACAAATAAACCAATCAATTAATTCTGAGTACCGTATGTAGCAAATTCAACTCTAAAATGAACGTTTTGAATTGAATTAGCATTAATTTAACATACGCAATATTTCAGTACCCAAATAACATATGTAATCAAAGTATCAAACAATCCTTTAATGACCAAAACGTTGAAGCCGGTAAACCAGATCTACATAAACAATAAAATAGAACCGGAGTTAAGGAAATAATTGATTCATAAAGACGATAATAAGAATATGGAGACGAGATATAATCTCTTTCCTTAATTCTGAATATTCACTCTATAGTGATATGAAAATGTACGAATATCGAGTCCCAGAATATAACCATGGCGACGGATCACGCTTCACTCGTGAAACGACCTAACGAACTGAAATTCTACGAACACTCTCTTAAAACTTACGCTGAGGGATTTGGTGGATTTTTTCTGTGTGAAAAAATGTTAATGGTGAAGGAGGCGGAGAGTAATATTTAAAGAAGAAATGAGAGTTCAAATTTTGTAACTTGCGGAGCACGTTAGCGAAATACTCGGAGATCTCGGGAGTGGAAAGTTGAGAAACTTTCTCCGCAAGATTTTCTTCTTTGATTCGTTCTGATCTTTTGCAAACAGATAAACTTGATGTTGTCTTAAGATGAACTTCATGTCGTTTACAAAAAACATCATGCTGTTTTTTATTTTAAAAATGACAAAGCGTTGAGCTTAACTTGGTCCAAACAGATAACTTCTTAACGAGCCAAAGGCTCTCTACCCGAGCCCACGGCTGGCAAGCCGAGCCGGCCGGCCGGCGGCGGTTGCGTGCGCGTGGAGAGCCATCTCTCTCGCTGAGCTGTTTAATCACTCATAAGTTGAATTCATATGTACAACTCCATTTCACCTTTGCCGGCCGATGTGGGATAAAACTAAAAAACTAGGTTTTTAGTTTTCGTCCACAACAAGATACCAACTTCAAAGTTTCATTTCTTGTTAAATTTTGATCTGTTTTTAAAGTGTGAATATACCACGTTGTAGTACTCGTTACAAGCTTTAAAACGAGCTGGTGATCTGACCAGAACGACCACCGGTTTGGCCGGAAAAGTTTCCGGAAAATCAGAAAGATCAGCCTCTAAAAAATTGAGTTCCAACAATCTCCACATTAATAGAAATTACTCTAAACACATGCAGACTCGATAAAATTAAAAAGAAATACTTATTCTAACTCTGACTAGATTAGACACACTTATCGAGAGTATTTGCGAAAAATTCACTGTGTTTAAGTTGGTGGCAGTTTTTGTAGTGATACTATTTATCTGATTTAATACAGCCTTTTTTGTAGGGATGTGATCTCTTCATAATTATTGTGTTAACAACAAATATATATCACACCGTGGTGATTACTCAAGAGGGTCGCTTGTTAGGATCTGGAGATAATATAAATTCACAGGCCATCACTCCTTTCAAACATGCCTGGAGGCTACTGAAATCTTTCTCAAATAAAAATACCTGACATAAAAAGCAAAATATAACAAATATCATATGAAATTGGTTATATTTTGCTTATATTTTGATTATTAATGTCAGATAGCTTTATTTCTGTTATTTCAAATAATTTGGATTAGATTTGTATGATTAGTTTATGTATATGTTATGATGCTTTTAACAATGGGAGTGAGTGTCACAATGTTAAATCAGCAACTCGAAGTAGTGCTCATGGTTTACATGAGTTTAAAGGTCTTGTTCAGAGGATAGAAACAATATATGTCAAAGGATTAAGGTATATAATTTCTTTTTCTAAGCTCAAGTGATTCAAGTATCATGTCGTCGCGAATACAATGTTGTTTTTATAATTCAGTGTGGAGAGGTTGGTTTATTCTAATTTTGTATTTTTCTATAATCCACAAATTTTATCCCATTGGTACTCTGTTAATTATAACCATTGGTGTAACATAGATTTTCACATGTGGGGAGAATTATATCTTTGGTTGTGGTCACTTAAATACAAACTTTTAATTTACAGACCCAAGCTAGCTTTGAATAGTAATTCTGTAAGCATGTAACCTAGGCCTGCGACTTTAAACCGAACCAAACGGTCTGAACCGAGCCGAACCGAAATTTTCGGTTTTTGGTTCGGTTTCGGTTTTGAATTCGGTTTAGTTCGGTATGATTCTGAAAAGTAATTCGGTTTTCGTTTTGGTTCGGTTTGGTTTTTGATTTTCAAAAAAAAAAAAATTAGAAAACCGAAAAATATCCGAAAATATCCGAAAGTAACCGAAAAATCGAACCGAATTAAAACAAAAAACCCGAAAATATCCGAACTTAACCGAAATAACCTAAAATATCCAAAAATATCCAACGTTTTTTTTGAAAAATTATACGGAATTAACCGAAAACCAAACCGTACCAAAATTTAATTCGGTTAATTTCAGAATAAGTTTCAAACTTTTCGGTTCACCGAAAACCGACGGTTCGGTTTGGTTTCAGAAAACCGAAGTCGCAGGGCTAATGTAACCTCTTTAGGTTTTCGAGTTTAGTTTACTTGTTAGTTGAAATTATTATTCTCATATGATTCCTTCTTAAAATACCTAGTTTAGTGATTAATGTCTTGAAGATTAAGTTCATATGGAGGAAATATAGTATTATGTGGTCAATCTATATGTTTTGCTGATATAACTTTGGATTTTGTAGAATTTGTGACACTAACATTATTATTACCACGTGGGCATTGGTAACAACTACTGTGTTAAAAAAAAACTCCAGCCTCTTGCTATTCTGGCTTTTAAAACCAGAGGTGTTCCCATCGCTTGGAACTGTCAAGGAGCCGGGGCTCTATTGACAAAGGAACATCTTCAAGAACTTTATCACTGTTTTTTACCTAGGTTTTTATTTTTATCGGAGACAAAAAACAATCGGCCTTTTTTGCAAGATGTGCAAGTTTCTTTTGGTTATGATCGAGTTCACACTGTAGAGCCATGTGGCCGTAGCGGTGGATTAGCACTTTTTTACATGGATGATCCAATTGTTTCTATTTTATATTCGGATAAGCACATGATCGATATCGAAACTACCTTTGAAGGACACCTTATCTATATGACCTTTGTCTATGGTGATCCGGTTATTAAAAATCGTGACTTAGTTTGGGAACGGCTAACACGAATGAGTTTAAACCGGAGCCACGCTTGGTTTATGATAGGTGACTTTAATGAGATTACGGGTAATCATGAAAAGAGAGGCGGAAGGAGGAGAACCGAAAATTCTTTCCTTCCTTTTCGTACCATGTTAGATAACTGCGGGATGCTAGATTTCCCATACAAAGGAAATTCTTTTACGTGGGTGGGAAAAAGACGTTCCGGAAAGGTTAAATGCAAGCTGGACAGAGCGGTTGCAAATGAAGAATGGCACTCGCTATTTCCGGCTACAAATGTGGAATTTTTACAGCTTTGGGGATCAGACCATAGACCGGTGTTAGCACGTATACAATCTATATATCGAAGATCAAAAAAAAGTTTCAGATTTGATAAAAGATGCTTGGGGAAACCTGGATTTAAAGAGACAGTTATTTCTGGCTGGGGCCCTTTCAGTGAAGCCCACGATATGGACTTTCACCATAAAGTGGCCTCTTGCCGACGTAACATAATTTTTTGGAAAAAGAATAATCCAACAAACTCAGCGAGACTCATTGAAGAGCTGAAAAATAAAATTGATCTAGCCCAGGAAGATGATCATACTACTATTGAAGAACTAGAAGACCTGCGACGCCAACTTATCACTGCTTTTAGAGAAGAGAATCAATACTGGGAACAAAAAAGTAGGACACAATGGCATCGGGCAGGTGATAGAAACACTAAATTCCACCATGCAACCACAAAACAGAGAAGAGCTCGGAATCGAGTCACTTGTATAAAGCACAAAGAGGGCAGGATGATTGAGAGTGATTTTGGAATAGAAAAGGTAGCTGTTGACTATTTCCAAGAACTCTTCTCTACATCTGTACCTACAGACATGGACGCCTCTCTGCGTTTCATTAAAAATAAAGTTTCAGCCACCACAAACGCCTTTCTTACAGCTGAACCAACGGAGCAGGAAATCAAGAAAGCTTTATTTGATATTAACCCAGATAAAGCTCCAGGGCCGGATGGTATGACGAGCAGACTTTTTCAGAGATTTTGGCATGCTATGCACAAAGACATCATCCGACTAGTGAAAGATTTCTTTATTGATGGACATTTTGACCCGAGACTGAACCAGACTAATATCTGCTTGATCCCAAAG